TCAGGGCCAGGTTGGACACAGGGGCTTGGAGCAACCTGCTCTAGTGGAAGGTGTCCCTGCCCGTGGCAGGGGGTTGGAACTGGGTGAGCTTTAAGGAACCACAGGGACACCTGCCCAGGCAAGATGGGAGGTGCAGGAGGGCAGCTCAGGAGCACCAGTGGTGGAGCTGGGCAGTCAGTTGCAGCTGATCTTTTTAAGCTAAATGTTGAGGAACTCCCCCTTCCTTCCAGTGGCACCCTCCACTGCAGAGGTAACACAGGATCTCCCACCAATGAAGCCAGCAGCTGCCCTCCATGAAGACACATTTAGCCCAAGTCCACATTTCTGTCCACAAATGGGCTACGGGCACAAATGTTGATCTGGAACATGCACCTCCCCCACTAATTTCTCCTGCTTAACCCATTGGTACTTCATCTGCTTACAAGGTCTCCAACCACTGCTGCCCCATCTGCCCCCGCAGCAGCAAGGCCCACTCTCAGAGGGGTGACAACTGGTAGGTGCTGGGAGGACACCAGCACTGGCCAACATGTAGCTGAAGGTTTTAGAACCATCCACTGAAGGGGGAAATGAGCAGCCAAACATCACTGAAAGAGGGGGCATAAAGAGGTATTTTTTGCACCACTGTGGCTCATTGCTCACCCCTCTCTGACAGCAACGGGGACAGGGAATGACAAAGGTACCTTCATCTCTGGACAGGGGTACAAAGGCAGGGAAGGGGAGAAGAGTCGGAGACCTCTTCGGTCCCTCTCTGCACAAAGAGCACCCGCTGTTCCTCCTCCCACCACTCCCCAGCATCAAGAGAGGGACGGCAGAACACAAAATGCTGGAATTCCTCTTTCGCCCCCTGCTGAGGTGCTCAAGGACACAGAACAGAGGCAAAAAGCACTTTCTTGGGGACTTTGCTGCTGGCTCAGACCCAAACCATGGGGCAGGACAGCTGGGTTTTCCAGCACAGTGTATCCTACACAGCTGAGTGTGTCCTACCATGTCCTCTGCATCGAGACTGTTCTGCTCTGCACCACCCATCGCTTCTCACTGAGGACAGAGCTCTGCAGCCTGGCAGCAGCTGGAGGCTGCAATACAGAGACATCCCCCTTTGATCAAATATTCTCTTTGGAGAATAGCAGGGAAGAAACTTATATCCAGGGATCCTTCTCACAAAGACAATGGACATGTCTTTTTTTTGCTCAGGATCACTGCCATCAAGAGTAGAAACCAGGAGTCATTCTTGAGGCTCTTCACCTTAAATTACTTCCTCCTTCAATGCCTTCTGATTCTGATGGTCACCAGCCTGGCACATTGCTCCATGCTCTCACACAGTGTGAGCCCTCGCATTCAGTCTAATCTCTGCCTGGTCGGTCCATCATGTCCTCACCTCAAACCCCTGCCATCAGCCCCAGGCACCACCCAACACAGAAGAGATCAACCCTTCCTAGAATCATAGAATCAACCAGGTTGGAAAAAACCTTTAAGATCATCAAGTGCAACCTTTACTAACCCATGTCACTAAGGGCCTCATTTACACAGTTTCTGAACACTTCCAGGGACGGTGATTCCACCATTGCCCTGGAGTAAGTCCTCTTCCTTGTGTAGCTACATGGAAACATTCTTGAACAATAAGCTTTGCCTGGGGGATATAACTGGGGTCTGCAGAGACAAGAGTCCACCTTTGCCCCTACCTACCGCAAACTGGTAGCACTGACAAATCCCAGATGGGAAACCCAAAGGTGGCATCTCTCTCCAGTGGAGGCCAGATGGTGATTCCATTCTTAAAGTTATTAGGAAAGAGGCTCCATTTAAATGTCACCTACCCCTGGTGAAGACGGGAACAGTCACGACTGCGTTTGCTACTCTCCAGCACCCACTCCAGAGCAGTATTAATGACTACCCAGTGAAGTAGGACAACATTCCCTTTGAGAAACTCCCACCATGGATACTCTCCAAGAGCCTAGGTGCCCTCATTTGCATTATGAATGCTAGTTAAACACATACACGAACTTCTGTTGTGGTACAACATTCCTAAATGAATTCCAGAGAGAGCGAAAACAGACCAAAAGGACCACCCTCCAATCCACTACTGCATCCAGACCCTGAGCCATCAAAATGGTGCTGTGGGGACATGGAATTCCCTTCTTCTCTGGAGATGATGATAAGCCTTCCAGTATGTGGATAGGGTGATGTTTGGTCCCCAGTGAACTGGTGACTTGTAGGTCTTCTCTGCATAGGCAAGCAAACACCTTGGTAAATGCAGGTGCAGCTCAGTGACTGTGATGGACAAGGAGCAAGGTTAAGGAGGCAGCAGCAGAGGTGAAGCCAGGAAAAGGGCTCGACACACACACAAGACAAAACTGCTCCTTGCAGCAGGGAGCTGAAGAAAGAACAAAGCTGTCCTCAGATCATGAGGCAAGATAAAGAGAGTCAAAGTGGGAACAAGCCAAGGGTGTATCCAGTGAGACGGGGCAGCAGGTCATGGCTCGGTGGGCAAGAGAACAATGAGGGCAGAAGCGTGCTCTGCTCAGCCGCAGCAGAAGCCACAGGCCTGGAACAACCCACAGCATCATTGATGCTACAGAAACTCCTACTTATTTGCAAGGTTTCAGCTCAGCTCTTGTCCAAACCAGAGATCCATGACACCTCTTGCTCTGCCAGCAGTGAAAGGAGGGAGCTGGCTTCCCAGAAGGGCAGAGGAAGAAAAAGAGAGAAAAAGACCAAAGCTTTATGATAAAGATAGTATTGGTCAGACTGAATGACTGCCCCTTGAGCTTCTTGTGTATGTCCATCATGAGGAAAAAGCTGTTAAAACCCAAAACCACAAGTGAAAGTTGGCCTAGGGGTCACGGAAAACCACCCCAAGCCCAAGACAATGAATTGGTGTGAAATACGTCTCTCCAGGCAGGAGGCTGCAGCACAAAGCTCTCCAGGATTTGCCTCAGTGACATCCAGCCAGCCCCAATCCTGCAGGCTGAGACACATTCCACCCCAGCACTGTTCTTTTAAATGGATTCCATTAAAGCAGCAAAAAGATGCTAAGTTAAAACTTAACCTCAGTTTAAACTTCATTTACATGGCTCTGGGCTTGCACAAGTAAGTTTACAAGGGCAAATCACCACCATAAAATAGTTTTAAACCAGTAAAACATATCTACGCAGGATATGAGCTCTTATTCACCAAACTGGTTCTACCTATGTCAGTGCAACTTGGGTTTAAGATAAAGCCTTACTCCTCATTTCCACCTGAGGTACCACATCTTACCCTTCGGCCTGGATGCTTCTCCACAGTGTTAGTGATAGTTACCCATGCAGAGGGATTGCAGCCAGTTCATCCCTTCAGTTTCATTACAACGACGTAAGCAATTCCCAGCTCATAAGTGAGGACAGTGTTGGAACCCCAAGTTTCTGCAGGAGGTGCATGGTGAAAGGGCATGATCCAGCAACAAACCAACCTGAGCCATGAGAGCCTCTGTTCCAGTGCACTGGCGTTAGTTCACCCTAAAAGTCTTATGAACAAAACCCTCACAAACACCTGTTACAATTAGAAATTTTTTAATCCAGAATTTTAGAGACTTAAAAAAATAATTTAATTTAAAATCATTTTGATGCATGTGGCCTGCTGAGTGTCCCAGCATCCAGCCTGGCCAGAGCCACCCTTCCCCTCCCCTCTTAACATCATGCTCCCCTCTCCCAACCACCTTTTGGGCATGGTCCTGTTCCCAGACACATTCTAACGCACTCCAAGGAAAATCAGAATGAGCAGCTCATTACAAGGAAAGAGATTTCAACCCTGTGGCTCAGCAGGATGCTTTTTTCCAAGTCCTCGGTGGTTGTTTTCTCCTCTCAGGATAGGCATGAACTCCTCAATGTGCTCCCAGCCTCCCCCCTACCCCAGCAGTTTGCCACCAGCACTCTCGCTTCCTGACCATGTCCTCTGCCGAGATGGGATCAGCGTTGTTCCCACAAGCAGCAAGAAGGAACAGTTTTGTTTACTGTTCCCCTTCACTCCACCACAGTGGGCCTCTGAACATTTGGGCAGCAACAAATTTTAGTGCTAGATCCTCTCTCTTCTTGTTCAGATCCCCAAGTTTTCAGCAGATGCTCAGCCCATTCCACATGCCTGCAGCCCTTCTTGTTGGCTCTTGTCCCATGTGGATCTCCTTTTTGCCTCTGGCCACGTACTTGGCAGACAGCTGGACCTCAGAAGCCAAGGGAGTTACCTAAATGTTATCATAGGGAACTGCAAGGCCAATGTTGTAGTTGTAACCAGTCACTTTAGAGCGGCAGATTGGAAGGACACTTTCTACAGCCAACTGGTCTGCTGAGAACTCGTAGGCATAAATGATTCCTCGATACCTGCACAAAACACAACCAGGACACACCATTTTATATGGCTGAATTATATATTCCAACAGAGGAAAACAAAGTTAGAGATTGCCATGAAGAATCAAAATCTGATGCTTCAGAAGCATCTCTTCTGCACTACGGCTGTCTGTGCAGTTTTAACAGAGAAAACTCCCTCCTGCCTCCTTCCAGGGACCCACTAAGCCCTGGAAACAAACAGTGAATCATTCACTTCAGCACTGCGGAGACAAGACTGTCATATGCTGAAACAGTTCTCACCTATTCAGGAAGGGGGAAGGTGAGTACACTGGAGACTGGTAGCTCCATTAGACTTGCTAACAGCCATCTGAGATGCAAATACCAAAACCTGGAGCTGAAATACCGATAGTTTTCCTTTAGCTAATATTACGAGCAAGGAAAGAGCTGCATTCCCTGTCTGGCTCCAGTGCTCTTTACTTTCCCCTGCTAAAAAAGAAGTGCTCAGAAGTAAAGAGCCAATTCATCAATGGTTTTTGAAAGCCTTATCTTTAAACTTCTTTTTGCTATACCTTCTCTATTACTGCTCTGCATCATGACTTGGGTGCTTAGTGGGCCACTTTAATAAAGCAGATCTTCCCAGTGCCAAAAATCCCACCCTTCAGAGCTGGGGTACTCACTTGTGGTGCACAGTAAGGTCATCATCTGTGATGCTGGTGCCTGGAAGACTTTTCTCATTGGGGATGTTTGCAGTGATGAGGCTGTGAGAATTAAACCATACGTGGCGGACTGGATGCCTGAAAAACAACCCACAGCACTGGGTGTGATCCCACCTCCTACAGACTCTTAAAATCCAAGTGCAGGAAAGGAATCGTTCTGGATTAAAGCAGTGCCCTCTCTATGCAGAGAGGCCGGGAATCTGCACTTCTCATCCTGTCTGGAGCAGATAAAGGCGGCTTTTACCCCCATCTAGTGGGCTGTTATCAGAACACACGTGGGGTTGTTTAGCCTGGAAAAGGCTCAAGGGGGACCTTATAGCTCTACAACTACCTGAAAGGAGGTTGGTCTCTTCTCCCAAGGAACAAGTGACAGGACAAGAGGAAACGGCCTCAAGCTGCCCCAGGGCTGGTTTAGCTGGAGCTGAGGAACAATTCCTTCCCCAGAGGGTGCTCAGGCATTGGAACAGGCTGCCCAGGGCAGTGCTGGAGTCACCATCCCTGCAAGTGTTCACACCCCGTGTAGCCGAGGCCTCAGTGCCAGGGGGTAGTGGTGGGCTTGGCACTGCTGGGGTAAAGGTTGGACTGGATGAGCTTGAAGGGCTTTTCCAACCCGGTTGATTCTGTGATTCAGTGATTCTAAGACACTTGGCAGCACACAGGCTGCAACGGACCCAGGCAGCCTGCTCACCTTGCTGCTTTAAGATCTACTTCCCAAAATGAGGGATGGGGACACCCACATCCCAGGCACTGAGCTATGGCTGATTTAGAAATGCACTGTATGGCACAAGATAACAGGTCTGCTCTTCACTCCTTTTCCTCTCACTGTAAGTAAACTAATCCTGAACCACTGTAACAGCATTTACTGTTCAAGTAGGAGTAACTTATCTTCTCAGATTAAAACAGCTCATCTTGTCTCCTGTCACCTCTCTCCACTTCTGCCCCTGCTTTCCATTCATGACACCTGGCTGTAGGCATGGAAAACAATATACACACCTTCTTATCTATGAAAGCCTTTTTGATTGAAGGGATCCCTTCTGATCCCTATATAGATTAAACGGTATTTTAAATGTTTAACCTAATGGTTTCACTTTTAGCACATCCCAAAGCTCAGATTTGCCCTCTTTGCTGGCATACTCATTAGTGCTGCTCCAGGAGACAATCAATGCAAGACTGTCCTTAATGCATCAGCCACATCACAACAGGCTTTATAATTCACAGGGTCAAAAGAGAAGGTGGTACCTGCTATTAATCAGTAACAACTCCAGCTTGAACTTCTCCGACTGTAAATACCTCATCTAGCTCCTGATAACCCAAAGTTATCAGGATTTATCTGTTCATTTATCTGGTCGTTTTAGTAAGGTTATCACTCAGACTCACAAGGGACTAAATCCTGGAGGTCTTCATTCAGACAAAGCCCCTGGGAATTGTGCTTTGCACGGGAAATCATCATTTAGCTGTAACAACTAACAATCTTGTGTCAACTCCAGGATCCTGATCTTTGCATGAACTCGCAGTACTGCACTACTTGTGCTTCTAGTACAAACTGGTATTTTAATATTTAAATGAGTTTAAATACCAGCCTGGATTTGACTGAATGTGTGCATGAGGTGAACAGAAACACAGGGATCGTGTAAGGCCATAGTGCATAGAGACAGCCAGAGTGACAATCAGTCACTCTGAAGACAACCACCAGAAGTCCAGCATTTAAAATCCAAGTTTCAATACAGTAAATATTGGGTGAGGATGGGGCAGGGAGAAGACACTGACCTACAGGCTGGCCAGAGAACCTGTGGCTACTTGGAGTGACCTACTCCAGTGGAAGGTGTCCCTGCCTGTGGCAGGGCTTTGGAAGTGGATGAGCTTTAAGTTCCCTTCCCATCCAAACCAGGCTGAGATTTTATGTACCGATCATAGAATCATATGGTTTTGTGATTCTAAGATCTTCATGAGAAGTGCAGGGGAAACAATTTCCATGCTCAAGACTCCAGGTGGGGAGGCAATCTGTTCCCAAATCACATGAAAACAGGTTCCCGAATCACATGAAAACAGAACTCTCAGAAGCTTTAGACACGGGAATGTTATCATTTTGATCCTGGATCATCCCATTCCCACATTCCTCCTGACAACCAGACCCGATAAGCACCTTTGCAACAGGACCCAGACAGAATTACCTGGCATGCATTTCCCAGAGTTTGGTGCCCATCCGTTGGTCCCACACACAGACCAAGCCCTCTTCTCCTCCACTGATGATCTTCCAGTCATCCATCTGGACCGCAGACACTCCTAACTGGTGGGCATAGAGGGAGCACAAGGACTCGCTTTTGCGGAGGTCAAATACCCTGACCCTAAAAGAAAGCAAATAAAGAAGAGAGATCAAACCAGCTCTGGATGTGCAGCCTGTGGGTTCTGACAGTACAAGTACTTTTGAGGCTATGAAAATAGGTCTAGGACAGCAGTAGTGCCATGGCCACTACAGGGCCAGAAATCCAATGTGATTCACACTTACCACCACTGAATTTTCACTCTGGTTTCTACTATCCAAGATTTTTTGAGGCTGACTCAAAAAATTTCTCTACAAGTCTTGGGTGATATAAAATGTAAGGGAAATTTGGAGAAAGTTCCTCTATCTGTGCCTCCCAAAACATTAGCATTGCCTTGAAGCATAAAGTCTTGTGTTTTGGGCATGTCACTAGCGCATCCTATCCCTTGGTACCCAACCCACATCCACTGTGGCCAAGGGGTAATATTATGAGGACCAAGGAAAGGACTATTATTGCAAAGATTATGGAAGAGACTAAATGTGGCAATTCAAAAGGGAATTACAGGTTTATACACTTGAGTTCATCACCAATATTGAAACAAAGTTATCCCCAAGCACCCAGCAATCAGTACCTCTTCAGACTTCAAAACAACAACTACTGACTGCAGGTGGCTTTCAGGTACATCTGGTTTGCAGAAACTATTGATCACTCAGACAAGGGGTTCCGAAGTGAAACATATTTAAGACTCAACTAGAAGCAGAACTGTAGAGAAAGCGCTTAGGACTGCAATGCAACAAGTCCACAAAACCGGTTAAAGCTAATGGTGTTGGGTTTTAAACCTGGCACACCGCACAAAGGAGTATGATTTTTTGACCCTGATATATTAAGAGACCAAGTGAAGTACATAAGTGAATAAAAATAATAATGCAGCAAGTAAAAACAGAAGGAGAAATCCTCATCTCAGATTTGGAAAGAAGCCAGAGAAAGCTCCTCCCAGCTGATGGCCATTGAGAGTGAAACCATCAGGTACACATTAATTCCAGAAAAGGCCAAAACACACTTGTTCCAACACATTAACTCTACTTTATTCCATACCCCTGCTATGATCCTAATGGTGTTGCAAGTCTTTCCTTTTTCTTTCTCAAATGGAGATTGCATCATATGATTTTACAAATAACACATTTCAGCCACTGAAATAAAAGGCAACAGAACAATCCAAAACTCCAACAGAGCAACATCCATCTGACATGTGGAAAAACATGCTGGAACAGAGTGAGGAGCATGCTTTGTGTGGCTCTTCAGTCACCCATAGGAAAACCCCATCACAACAGCTGCTGATCATGAAAAGGACTTCTTGCTTTCTCCAACTCCAGCAGAGAGAAGCTTTGGCTACATATTAGAGCTGTGTTTTGGGTAAGGATGGGGTATTTTGGAAGTGTTCACACCCAGCACTCTCCCTGTCTTACTGCATGTGTTCTGCACAGCAATCAAAGCTCCTTCTGTTTGGTAAGCACTGTTGGAAACAAAGATCTGATTGTGCCCTGCTTATTTCATTAGCGAGGACCCAGGTTTCAGGCAGGTGTCCATTCTGGCACACCCTGGGAAGAATGAGAGGCACACTCGAGTTGTTTAGATGTGCTTTAACAAAAAAAAGGAAAAAGCATTTTGCAAATTTAATGTGATGCTCTAATGCAGACCTGGCATGGCCCAGTGTCTCCTGCCTCAGCAGCTGGGCTCAGTGGGAGCACTTCAGATTGATCCAGGTTCAAGGGAGCTGTAAGGAAGGTGTTCTCACGACCAGGCTTTGATTCTGCTGTTAAGAGTACCTAAGAAGCTTGCCTTTAAGGAAAGCATGGAATATGTGTTTTGCTCCACACCTTTCAGCTGCACAATACACTGGGCTTGCCATATCTTTGCTTTCCCAGTGCTATTCATCACCATATGTACCACCAGGGAAAACGATGCTGTTGTGCAGTGCATCAGCACAGGCTCCCTGTTCAAAGATCTCTCTCTTTGAATAAAAGAATAGCATACACCAGGGAAAATGTGAACTTAATTCAAGCAGGAAGTTTTTCCACTGGCCATCAACAGCCTGAACTCCCAGGGCAAGGTCCCTATTTAGTACACTTGCTCCATAATAGGACTATGCATATTCAAGTCTCATTTACCTATAAATGCCCTTCATGCAGCACCACATGAGGAACTGACCTCTGAGATACACATGGCCTTGCCTCCTGGATGCCAAACTTATTTGCTGAACTGTTGATTCCTAACTTCTTGCTACAGTGACGGCCAACCCCGTGAACTCGGTCAATGCTTGAGCTGAAAAACTGAGCAGCTTTCTGGAAGGGAAAGGGCACAGACGTTTAATATAAAGGGAATAAATTTCAACCTCACTGAAGAGATACTAAGGCTGGGTTCTGGGCAACCTGATTTGTTCAAGATGTAACTGCTCCTTCAAGGGGGTTGGACTAGATGACCTTTGAAGGTTCCTTCCAACCTAAACTATTCTATGATTCTATATCAACTTCATTAACTCTCTCACCATTGTGCAAGAGATCAAAATTGGAGGTATTTTACTGGGGTGCTTTGGAGAATCAATTATCTGCTTTTAGAGGAGGAAAAAACCCAGAATCTCAAGGTTTCAATTACACTTGTCAAAACTTCAGCTATTTCCTTAACCCCTTTGCTGAGGAAGTGTGAGTTTTGGTTGTGCTGCCTATTTGCAGAGAAGGAAAAAAAGCTGTTTGACAAAATAATCATTTTTGCAAGCTGCTGCACTGGCGGGACAGAGGTCTGGGATTTGGCAAAGGGAAGTATCCGCCTCACAATCTGATACCCACCACCACACCAGACCACCACCTGCAGCCCGATGCCCAGTGCAGAAAGGAGGAGGGAAGGAACAGGGAGCCATTAGAGACTGGCTCCTCGCCATCCCACATCTCCTTTGGTGCACTGGATCAGACCCCACAAATAACTAGCCAAAAAAAGAAAATCTAAAAATTGGACTCAAAGGGTCTTTTTAAGCACTTTAATCCTTTCGCACTGACTGTTCCCAGCGCGTCCAATCCTGGCACCAGATATTGTGCTGGGAAAATCCTACTCCCCAAGCCAAGGAGTTAAAGAGAAAGCTGCTAATCAGCTAAATAGAAGCTGGAATCTGTTCATATGAAAGCCTCTTTTTTTTTGTCACCTGAGGGACATCACAGTGTTCCGAAATACACTCTTGACATCATTTGGCAGACGGACCCATCTCATCCTACATGATTCATCCCTTAGGTTACTTTTTTAATATCAGAAAGTGAGCTTTTAAATGCCAAACTCATTTTGCGGGTGGTGCTGGGGAAGTGGAAGAGATTCCAAGTGGTCTCGCTGGGCTGTACACCAACTGCGTCCACCAAATGGCTTAAAAAGAAAGTCTTCCCATGGAGCTTTCTGAAACAAAGCAAACTGGCAGCCACATCCAACTATTACCTAATATTTTGTTCCTGAAGTTCATGCAGGCTGCTTTTGAAACATTAGAGGAGAAACAAATTCTAGCAGGTCCAGATCTAGGACAGCAGGACAGGAAGTAAGCTAATTTGAGATGGGTTACAGCTCTTGGTAGTACCTACCTTCTGTCTTTATTGCCTGTAACAAGCATGTTTGGAGGACTGTTCTGGAGGTTGACACATGTAAAGTCACCTATTGAGTTGCCCATCTTCTTCAGACACTGACTTGTTTCCAGATTGTAAAGAAGAATCTGGTAGGAAGAGAACAAACACTGGCTAAATTTAGCAGGAGCACAAGTACATTTTGCTGCAGCATGAAGTAGAGCAGAGTTCTTACCATCAGAGATGGTAAATAACCAAGATACCAAACTATCCCTATTGAGAAGGGCAACAACACCCTCAGAAATAAGGAAATCAAGTTTCACAATGGATTCCATCAAGAAGCAGCGATGCAAGGCTCTTGCCAACCGCTATCAGAAGGTATAGCTCTCAGGCAGGCAAAACAAGCCCTACAGACTTTCTCCAGCTCAAATTTTTAAGGCTTCCATGGAAAAGCAAATAGTTTCCTCACCAGCTTTAATATTCAAGAGAGTAAAAGTAAACAGAATCAACATTTTGAAGGTTTAGACAGATGGACTCTGCAAGAAAGATTCAATCAAATACAGCAGAAATAGAAGAGCAGAGCTGAACAAACACTGCCGTGGTGCTGACAGGCCCTGCTGATAGCTTCTGTACAGATCACAGCACAAATAGATAAAGAGAAACATCACATCTGAAGTGGCAGTTCAAATGAAGAAGGAATAAAAACAACTCTGATCTTAAGCAACATCCAAGACGATTCGACCAGAGGCTGGAAGAGGGTACGAGTTCTCTCCTGTCTGTTCGCCCTCCTCCCCTCTGCACAGTGATCGGTTTAGTCACGTTCACTGTCTCCCCGGTGGGGCCAGATGAGGTTTAGTTATTTGGGCTTTTCAATTTAGGAGAGCAAATATTTTTAGAAACAGAAATAGGTACTGGTCAAAGCCCAGTGGAGCTCAGCACAGCAGCTGGGCCTCCATAACTCCATAAACATCACCAAAGTTCATGGTGATGCTCCTTTAATTTAAAAGAAACTTATGACCACGAAAAGAGTAACAGGAGTTAAAACCTCAGAAAGAACTTAGGGCTTCCACAGCAACATCATCAGGACTATGCCAACAGCACATCAATATTCTTAACTTCTACATTTCTGATCATATCCACATGCAGCTTAAAAATATTCCACTATCTGTACATATCATTTCTACACTTGCCACAATAGTGGTAGTGATACAGCCTTTTACTTCCTATCTCTGCCATTTCAGTAAGCATCTGAAATGTCAAGTTAAGAGAGCAGGAGGGGATCACTTTGCGATGGATGCCTCTAGGCAACAGGATTAAAGCTTCATAAATGTCTAGGAATACTGCAAAGAAAGGCAGAGAATTTGCAGGTTTCCTCCACCTGCCATTTCTCCCAGCTAAAGAGCAGGCACAGTTTTATTCAGACATGTTATCAGCTCCCTGTTAGAGTCAACGCATTCATACCCGACTTCCTCAGCTGCTTGTAATATTTACAATCTCCCAAGCAGTTCCCTTTCCCAGCCTTGTCTTTGTGAAGCTGCCTCAAATAGCAGTTGTTAGCATGTGATTTTCACCCTTAAGACCCCCAAAACTAAAGCAATTTTACCCAATCTCTGTAAAGCAAGGAAGACTCTACATTTGCAAGGAGACTAAATGTGGCTCAAAATGAATTTCAACTTCCATAGCTATGAAAAAGTTGTTACAAACTGACTGAAAACATTAGTCTTGAAGGTGAAGACCAATTTACAACCTGTTCTCACTTGCAGTACGGCTTCCAAGAGCTCACTAACCAAACCCAGAGGTAATGATGTTCTGGCAAGGTACTTTGTGCAGTTTTCAGTGCAAAGGAAATTAATATCTGTGCCTGGCAACCAAATTTCTCCTTGGAAAGTTTTGAACTAAAGACAAAGTCAATAAACTGTTGAATTCAACTTAAGAACAATAAACGCTCGGGTCAAGAGCAGCATGTTCCAGCTCCCAGTTGAGGCTCTGAATCAGCCCTTCCCAGCTGTACACTGAAACTCCAGAGAGGGACAAATGCTGCTTTCTCAAAAGTCCCCTGGGGCTAATACTTAAAGTGAACATCCATAAACTATTAATTTCTCTAAATGACCATAGCTCCCATCTATCCTATAAACATAGGATACATCCTTGAAAATGCAGTTATGGCTGTGAAAGGCTACAATGAAAAATTGCTTCCATATAGCATTTAAAGACTCCCCTGTTTGACACACTGGGGCAAATATTACACATTCTCCATCTGAGACCTCTGGCAATCCTCATATGTAGGTAGCACCAGCCAAAGCATTATTTATTTCTTCACACACAACTTGTAGCTGGTCACCAATTTAAAGTGTTTGCATTTAAGGAAGAGAGTGTAAGAAAAGAAAGGTTCAGATCCACAGCACTGGAAGGAAAGCTTTTGTCTTATCTTCTCCTACCTCCTCCAATTCCTTCTCTTCTCACGTCAGTCTCCATGCTTTTAAAGACTATTGGGTTAGTTTTGATGCACGTGTGAATTTCTAACTTTCAATTACTTCTATCATTGGACAAAAGATTCTCTTTGTGATTTTCCACACCCAGGTTTTACCCATCTTTAAATTCAGCTTCTGTCTTGAGTGATTTTATGGTCTGCAAATGAATTTCCAAACCTCACCCAGACAAACTGACAGGTAAAGAAACAAAAAGAACTCAGAATGCTTCTTAAAATCTGCATAATAATTTCTTGAAGACAGGGGGTATAAAAGCATCCTGATGACAGTTTTGAAGTTGCTAGAACACTTGTGATGAGCTCTCCCATAATATCCAAAGGCAACAAGGATTTTCTTTACAAAGGCCAAGGAGAAATAATGAAAATACCTGGTCAACAGGGACTTGAAATAAGGGTCTGCATGTTAAAGGGCAGATAAAGCATAAGGTCTTTAGGAGGTTTATAATCCTATAATGCACACTGCAAAGGGATTACCCTTTTAAAGGTATTTATAATCCTATAATGGACACCCAAGACCAGTGACCTAATAGGTATCGAAGTGAAGGTAAGTGAACCAAGAGCATCTGGGTGTGAAATGAAGTGCCCTGGGATAACACACTAACGAGCATCCCTTCCCCCAGAGGGATTGCAGGGACACAGGGGAGGAAAAGCATTAAATACTCTGTGCAGATGTATCAGGATCTAACACACAAAATAAAAAGTGTTACCTATTAACATTGTTCAAATGAAAAGTCCAAGTTACTGGCAGAGAGCCAGGCAATCTCCCAGAATGCTGAATAATTCAACAAGCCAGAAATAGCCAGAGTACCTTTACCATTATGTTTAGTTAAAGACCACAGAGATTAGAAAACACATTATCCATCTCGGAGGCGATTCTTTCCATGTTACAAGTCCCTTAACAACCTTTACCATCTCTCCCTCTCCCTCTCTCTCTTTTAATAAGGCTGAGCAAATGGGACTTCATTTTATCCGGTTGCCACAGACTAGAGGTATTAATTATTCATGCTCATACTCTCTCTTTTGTTAAGACAGTGCATTAGACTAATTTCCCTTCTTACTGCACGAGCTAGAAAAGTCTCAACCTGTGGCCACTGTTCGCAGACAGATGCACCAAGAAGCTGGCAAACTCAAGAGACCAGGCAGAAGAAGAAAGGAGAAGTTACTGCTCTTCACGAAGCTGCTGAGCAGTGGGTATGAGGAGCTCTCTCCAAATGGTGTCCAAGAACTCGAACCAGACAACTAAATTAATTCACAAAGAATTAAAGTCTCTGTAGCCAGAAGAGCTAAGCTGTGAGCTTTGTTACATCTTGCAGCTAAGTGAGGTCAAGCGTGGTCGATGTAGTGTGGTTGAGATGCTTCCAAGAAAAACCAAGGAATTGAAGGAAATGCTGTTGATGGAACTCTTCCATGCATGTCCAATACCCCAGCAGGTGTTTTGGGATCCTGTGTTGTTGGAGATGTCTTTTTTGGATGGAACATTAAAACAACAAATCCCCAAGCACTTGTTATCAAAGAGCCTGTGGTACTTTCAACAAGAGCAGGGGTGTTCAAACCCACTGTCCTGGCTGAAAGCCAGCAGACAACTGCTTTGTGGAAGAGCTGGTTTCCTTCTGCAATCACATTTCTGCTTCTTGTCAGTAGTTACCACTCAGTAAAACCTGAGAATTGGGCACAGCACTCTATGTACAGTCTATGTAGTTATTATTTAGATGAAGTATTGAATGGAGTATCATAAATATTAGCAGAGCATACTCTAATACCACACTCAAAACCTACATCCCTTTCCTTACCAAATAACCACTTGAAGAAGCACTTTCTCAGAAAGAACTGTCTAGGATAGAGGTTTCTGTCTGTCATGTTGGAGACAGAGGATCAAAACAATATTAAAAGAACACCCTGATTTGCTCGAAGAGGCAGAGGAATCAGCAGCAACTTTGGGAACAGAATTTGCATTGAATTTCAGATTACATTTCTCCCCCTTTTCCTCCTGCCCATCCCTCTGCCAATTAGAAAAAACCCCAAGACATTGCCTCAATACAGGCACAATACACACAAGTATTGCCAACAAAAGAAAGGGTCATGAAATTTCAAGTCCACCATGAATTATAAAAGGGATTTGGTTTTTGCTCAGGTCAAACCCATTCAATTCGAAGGGTATCTACAAAAAGCAGTAAGGCTGTTCCACATGCATTGGCGGCAGAAGTCATCAAATTGAGTAAAACATATGGTATAGACTGCTGCAAGTTTGAATTTTATTTCTAAAGTGATGTGGAAAAAGAATATTTTCAAAGTTTACAAGCCTCAAGGGTGCAGTTTCCCAGTGCAAATGTATTGAATTGCCTACTGTAAATGTGGCACATAGCACTGCAACAACAACAGCAAAATGTGACTGTTAACAAATGCAAGGTCAGCATATTGATACTTGTGCACAGAGATAAGTGTTCTGGCTCCATAAATTTCAAGATGAGCTAAGATTTAAAAGAAGCAGCTGAGGGAGACAGACAGACAATCGGAGAGAAAGAAAAAGAGTAAATCATACACAAAACAGCCAGTGAAAAATAAATAAATAAAAAAAGCAGTTAATATACATGAATAATGGATGTTTGATTTAAAAGCAGTTTACTCCAATATGATGTAATTTTTGACAACCAGCCAGAGAGA